ATTATTATTATATTATACTGAGCTCCCCCCCCCCCCCAAAATGACTTAAAAGATGTAAATGTTGTTTTTTTAGAAAATTCAAGAAATGACCAATTTTCAAATGTCAGTCATAATACAGGTTAGACAATAATAATACAGGGCTAAGATTATTACAAATAAACAAAAGATTGTGACGCTTATCCAAAGGTTTGTGCGAGTGTGGAGCGCGCACTGCATGGCACGGAGGCGCGAACACTTTCAGCAGTGGAAACAACTTAAAATACTCTATAATTTCTGGTCATACAGAAAATAATCATACATCATTCGCAACTACTTTTATTTGTGTAAACTCACAATAACAAGAAAACGTTGTGCTTTTGTAAAATAAAATAAAACAATCAGGCGAGCTTTCATGGTCTCCGTGATCGCGTCTCAAAAATGAACTGAAACAAAATATAGCCTATGTAGGCTAAAGCTTGAAATGTCCACTTTTAAAGAACCAATTCGAATCGAAAGCAAATACCGTCTGATAATGTAATCCATATGAATTTCTCTCTAAAGGCCCATCCTTACAGCGGAGATGGAGGTATAGCCTCGTTATTTTTTCAGATTATAAATCACCTATAGCCTAAATCCTCTCTGTATGGTTCGAGAGTAGGCTATGGCTCTTTTCATTTAGCACTGCGGGAAAAATATCATTTCCTGGTTTGGCCTTAGTTAGAGAACCAGTAAAATCAATTTTTTGCATATTAATTTGTGAATATTTTAAATGTTTAATAAAGGGGCGAAAAGTCACATACAAAAATCGGAAAATACTTCAACATTTATTTTTTTGCGTAGCATTTGGTGTATAGGCTACAGTTCAAATTCAAATTTTGGTGTTCAACTTTGCGTTTTAAAAATAGGGCCTACAACAACCATTTTTCGTTTTTCAATTACGGGTTAAAAAGGGGAAAACGAATGGACGCAAAAGTACACGGACCATGGGTAATTTTGAAGCTTGTAAATGATTTCACTGTGTTTAAACGAGAAACAAGCCAAAACAAATTTGGGCGGTTTTTTGTGCATTCTTGCAGTTTTTGTAATGGAAAACCTTGGCATCTGGCAACCCTGCTGGAGTGGGCAGGGACTCTAACCACCTTCCGTTTCAACTGAAATGTGCTTCCGTTTCAACTGAAATGCTTTCATACAACATACTGAAATGCTTGCATATAACATACTGAAATGATTTTCAGTTGTGTGAGTGAGAGCGTTTCAGTTATGTTTGTAAAAGCATTTCACTTGTATGTGTGTGAGCATTTCACTTATGTGTGTGAGAGCATTTCACTTGTATGTGTGTGAGCATTTCAGTTGTGTGTGTGTGAGCGTAATATTTTCAGTTGTATGTATGTGAGCGTTTCAGTTGTGTTTGTAAAAGCATTTCACTTGTATGTGTGTGAGCATTTCACTTATGTGTGTGAGAGCATTTCACTTGTATGTGTGTGAGCGTTTCAGTTGTGTGTGTGAGCGTAATATTTTCAGTTGTATGTATGAGAGCGTTTCAGTTGTGTTTGTAAAAGCATTTCACCTGTATGTGTGTGAGCATTTCAGTTGTGTGTGTGTGAGTGTTTCAGTTATGTGTGAGCATAATATTTTCAGTTGTATGTATGAGAGCATTTCAGTTGTGTGTGTGTGAGCGTTTCAGTTGTGTGTGTGAGCGTAACATGTTCAGTTGTATGTATGAGAGCGTTTCAGTTGTGGTTGTCAAAGCATTTCACTTGTATGTGTGTGAGCATTTCATTATAGTATGTGAATGAATTTGGTTTTATATGTGTATGTGAGAGGAAAAGTACATGTATATGCAAGGTAATTCTGAATAATGTCCCTAGGGGCACCTCATACCTCATACTCCACAGCGTCTGAAACACACATTTACTCCAAGATCAGAATCACACTCACAATTTAACAGCCCATTGATTTTTAAAAAAAAGTTTAAACATTAATTCATGCTGTATAAATATCACAGCAGAGATGCAGTATACATTCAAATCTAAAGATAACATAAAGAATAAACACGAACCAACATCTTTAACCACATTCTTTATTTAAAATGTTAGAGTAAAAATAAACAAAGTTAATAAACTGATGAATATAAAAAAAAGTGACACAAGCTTAAATGTGCACACTATATAAAAGTGAGAAATTAAACATAAATTACTCTTATGAATTGTCTTTTAGGAACACAATGAAATGAGACTCACCTATAACAGATACTCTGTATGCAATATCTTTATTCATAGTGTTGAGGAGATTCCCCCTTCTATGTGAAGCGCTTTGAGTGTCCAGAAAAGCGCTATATAAATGTGATGAATTATTATTATTATTATTATTATTCAATAATCCACTTGTCTTTGCTGTATAGAGTCCACTGTCTGTCTTCTGCATTTTCTTCAGTGTGAGAGAGAAGGTTTCATCATTGAAATCCACTCTGTCCTTGTAGGAAGGGTGAAGTTTTACTGTTTTAGATTCATGTATATATCTAACTATAGTCTCTGATTTATCATTTGTCCAGGATAAAAGATGAAACTCTGGTAGTTTCTGTGTCTGTATATCCAGTTGAACAGAATCTCCCGTCTGCACAAACACAGAGATCTCAGCACTGAACCCTGAGGAGAGAGAAACACACTGATTTGTTAAGCGTCTCATGCTCTGTGTTCAATACCAGAGTTGATCAAAACTACTGTCTCCATTCTGGAGTTGCAGTCTTGCAGATATTTTAGCCCTTACATTATGCATTGATCTCAGGCGGCAAAGTTAAATTACAGGTTAGATGTGTTTGATGAACATTGAAAACACACAAATAACAAAACAAACTATGAGCGAGTCGCGACGACAGTGAAGGACAGGCCTGGACTTTATGTTGTGTTTCTGATTTATTATGTGACAGCACTCGTCCGTGAGGGGATACTGCCTTTACTTTCCTTTTGTATTTGTTTATTTTATTATTAAAAGTCTTTGATCGTTCGCCGGTTTCCGCCTCCTTCCCACAACAACTGACTGTGTTACAACATTCATGAAATATAATCAAAATATCTCCTATAAATCTGATATCTGTTTTTCAATCCCTAATGTAATGGAAATGATTCTTTAGCACTCTAGTGTTAGTAAAGTTAGAGACGAGTCACTCTTTCTCTCTAGTGCTTTAGTTTCTCATCAGGAGCAGATCCTGTTCATCAGATGCAGAACTATAGCAGACTGAACATGATGCTTTATACAAGCAACATTATAGATAAAGCAACAAGACATTTCAGTTATTTATACACATTTAATAATTGAGTGTATTACCTGTGTTACAGATGAGGAGAAGAATGAAGGATGTAAGCAGACGATCTACTGCCATTGTAACAAACATCAAGATGGCTGAAGTTTTATTTAAAACAGGAAGTTGAATATGTTGAAATAATGCTCATGTAACCTCATTATAACTCTCTCACTAGCTCAGCTTTTGTCATGATCCTTGGCTGGACAATTATTAGTTTAGTTATATCAATTAGATTTAATGTTAATGCTTCTAAAACCAAAAAATAAAGCAGGAGATGTTTAAGAAAGATACAGGACAATTTAAGAAAGTTACAGCATTTTAATAACCTGCATATGAGACTAGAGTATGAAAACTGAAAACAAACATTAGTTTGGACCAGTCACAGAAAACATTCCAGCATCCAACAATAAACTATTTTAAATGAGTAACTGTATATAAATGTTGATCCCCATTCATAATACAAGCCACACACAGGTTTACATAAATGAAAGTGACATTGACATTTGTAAAGACCAACTAACATTGGCCAGTTTATCTGGTTAGAAGACCCTGAGCCTCTGCTGGTAGAAGTTATAACTAAACCATCTGACTGCAAAAAGCATTTTCACCACCAATGACTGACACCCATTCAAAATATCATTGTAAAAAAAAACAGCAGAAATTCATTTCTTAAAGCAATAACTTTCCTGTAATGTCCACAACATAAAGCTTCTGATGTTTTATAGTGCTTTCATCGAAAGCGTTATGATATTCTATATTATTTGTTATGGAAATGCTACTTAGGTATAGAAGAAATCAGTAAGAAAAGTGGTAGCAATGGCAAGTAAATTGTTAGGGACTGCATAACCTAAGCATAGAAAGTGTCAATGAAGAGAGAGCTTTAAATAAGAAAAATAATATCGTGAATGATAAGAGATAAGAGGCGTCTTCTCGCCTCTGCTTTTGAACTGTTGCCGCCAGCCATCGGTAGTTTTTACTCCATTGTAAGAAAAACACATTCAAATGGTCTTTCCTCAAGCAATTACATTTTTTTTTTTTTTTTTTTATAACTGATGATTTGGTCATTCTTGTTTTTATTGTATATGTTTATCTATGCATTGTGACCTCTGATCTTACTCACACTTTGAAAGTGCTCTGACAATTTCTAAATAACTGGTTTTTAAATAATGCTATACTTCATTTAGAAATGATAAATTGATCATTAATACAATTATTAAACATATTACAGATATACTTTTAAAACAAGAATAAAGCATTTATTATAGCTGTATTTATATACTGCTTATTAATGTCTATTAATGCTTCATAAATGATGAATTACCTGTTTACTAATGCTTAACCAATGATTGATAGCGTGCAGTTATTATAAAGTTACCAAAATTTCCTTATCTAAGCAGCGTGTTAAACAGCAGCTCTACAGTCTCAGAGCCTTTCTAGGACAACAAGCCATTCAAACTATAGAAAAGTGTGAACTCCTACAGGAGCACTGCTGATTATGGGCTTAAACACACACACACACACACACACACACACACACACACACACACACACACACACACACACACACACACACACACACAGTCACTTGGCCAAAAATGTAAAAAATTCACCAGAGCGTTTTTTTTAGCTGATTTTAACATGTTTTAAAGCATGACCAACAGGGGACTTGAAAAATGTCCCCACTTGGCTTGGCAGTCCACTGTTGATGAGTGTGTAACGACACCAAGGTCCCCACTTAAATAGGTAGACGAGTACACACACGCACACGCGTGTCTTTACCTCCACAGAGCTGTTTGATGTTTACTATGTCTTTTTTCCAGCTAACTGGGTTGCTATGGTTACAGATGATGGATTCCTCACTGCAGTGCAGGATTAGAGTGTTGATTTGTGATGTCACTTCCTGTGCAGAGCATCTGTTGTTCTGATAGCTAGAGTTCATCATGAGGTCATGAGCTCTGCATGTAAAGTTCACAGTACAGGAGTCACTGCTGGAGTGTGAGTTTACAGTCAGAACAGGAGCCTCCACAGCGTCTGAAACACACATTTACTCCAAGATCAGTATCACACTCAGCACAGTGATGTAAAAAGGTTTAAATGCTTGTTTTGTTGAATAAAGACCACAGTAGTGAAGTGACTCAGTACTCATTAAAATCTGAAGACAACATAAAATGAGTTTTCATCTCTACCAAAAAATATTTATTAAACCACATTATTTATCTGTATTCTCTATATAAAGATCTAAGGAAAGGACTCCAATGTTGTTCTTTTTCGCTTTAATTAAAGTTGCAGAAAAGCATAATGAATTAAAAAAAATGTGCCACAAGCTGATTTCAATTTGCACATTATATAAATATAAAAATTAAACATAAATTACTCATGAATTGTTATTTATGCAGGAACACATTAAATCACACAATGAAATGAGACTCACCTATAACAGATACTCTGTATGTAACAATATTGTTCTCTGATTCTCCACTTGTCTTTGCTGTATAGAGTCCACTGTCTGTCTTCTGTGTGTTCTTCAGTGTGAGAGAGAAAGTTTCATTATTGAAATCCACTCTGTCCTTGTAGGAAGGGAGAAGTTTGACTGTTTTAGATTCAATTATATATCTAACTATAATCTCTGATTTATCATTTCTCCAGGATAAAAGATCAAACTCTGGTAGTTTCTGTGTCTGTATATCCAGTTGAACAGAATCTCCCGTCTGCACAAACACAGAGATCTCAGCACTAAACCCTGAGGAGAGAGAAACACAGTTCAGCAGATTTTGGATTTGGACCCATTTTACACCTCCATCTTACTCTATCATCAACTCACTCCTGTATTTGTCTGGATAAATAAATAAATCATATTGGTTCAAAAGTTCAGTAATTTGTTGGGGCTGTGCTCACAGTATATGGTATAAAGACATCAGACAGAAGTCTGATTACAACATTAAGACCTTGGTCAAGGACACGGCATACATCACATCAAGTCAACCAGACCAACTGTCATCTACTGTATGTTTTATTGTTTTTATATCATCACCAGCTGACTTAATTTAGTTAAGCATATCAGAGAGAAGCTCAATCCACTATAAAATACTTGTTTCTGATACATGGATCATGAAATATAACTAAAATATCTCTAATAAGTTACTGTAACTTTCATTTCATTTATTTGTTTATTTTACAGGGACAGTGCTCATTAATTAACAGTAAAATAACTGTAAATGAGCCAGAGTTAGCTCAACAGGCTAATTTTCATCTGTTGTCCCTGGCCAGTTATTATGAAGGCAACCTAAAATCAAGATATAAAAACAAAAATGACTTTTTACAGTCCACAAATAATAACAGCATAGAAAAGTAATGATAAGACAGATACAACACACAACAATAAATAACAAGTAACATCAGCACACAACATAGCCTATAAAATGAGAGATAAACAAGTTTGACACAAGACAATCTGCTAGCAAGCAACAATTATCAGTAGGCAGTCAGTAGTCTAATGTGCACATTTCTGATTATCAATTAGCCAGTTCTTAAGCTGACCAGTAAAAGAACGATAAGTCTTTGTTTCTCTTATCAGACTTGGCAATAGATTCCACTGTTTAGTTGCAGTTACAGAGAACGCTGACTGACTAAAGGCGCTTTTTCGAGTGGGAATGATACAGTCCCCTCTTGTGATACCTCTGGTGACATGAGTGCCTGCTCTCTGCATAACAAATCTCTTCAGTGGAGGTGGAGCCGTGCTATGCAATATCTTATAAACTAGACAAAGGTTACTATAAGTGATCAAGTTTTCCCAACTCAGAAGTCTATGGGTATTTAAAATTTGACAGGTGTGAAAACTATTAGGTTTCTGAACTAAAACTTTAAGAGTACGTTTATAAAGACTTTCAAGTGACTTCATTGTAGACTTGTTAGCTTGTGCCCAGCTTGTCAAACAGTATGTAAAATGCGGGATAATCATGGCATTCATATATATCATAGCAGTTTCAAAGTTGAATGATTCCCTAACAAATCTGAAATTACTTAAATTAAATCTAACTCGTTTGCACATACTTTTTACATGAGTTCTAAAACTGAGATTTGAATCAATCCAAACACCCAGATACTTGTATTCAGTCACAACTTGCAAATTTTGACCTGATATCATTATGTCAGGGTCTGGAACGCTACATGGTCGTTTTGAAAAGAACATGCTAACTGTTTTACAAACATTTAACGTTAGACATGAAATGTCAAGCCATGTAGTGATATAGTTCATTGCACTGGTTAGTTTTAAAGCAGCTTGCTGTTTTGTGCTGCTATGTACATAAATAACAGCATCATCAGCATATAATAGGATTTCTATATCGGGACAAACTAAAGGCAAATCATTAACATAAAGACTGAACAGCAATGGCCTTTAGGAGCTTTAAAGCATCAGCAGTATCACTTTGTGTTTTAACCCCTGAAAACGTCTCGGTTACGGATGTAACCCTCGTTCCCTGAGTAGGGAACGGAGACGTTACGTCGGATGACGGAGAATGGGGGTTTCGCCAGAAAGCATATCATCTTCGAGTATTAAAAAACGAGCCTATGGCAATGAAATGCCATGGGTCTGCGGAATTTGCATAATGTATCTCCGCCCCACCGGGTGGGTATTTAAGGAGAGACACCTGCAACAGCAGATCATGTCTTCGCTGAGGAGCCGAGACTGAACTCAGGCGTCTACCCAGCGGTACAGCGGAAGTGGCAGGGAGACGTAACGTCTCCGTTTCCTACTCAGGGAACGAGGGTTACATCCGTAACCGAGACGTTCCCTTTCGTAGTCACTCCGAGTTACGTCGGATGACGGAGAATGGGGGTCCCCGTGTAATCACGCCACCTTCACAGCTGTCTTCAAGTGCCCTGCGAAGTCTGACCTCCCTGTCGTGATATAGGCACGGACGAAGGAGTCCTACTTAACACAGGAATACCAAGGTACACTGGGAAGCATATCTCAGGGGAGATATGCCGCAGCATGCCTACCCATAGGGAGGACTTAAGAATACACATATGGCCGAGGGGGCTTCATATGGAGGAACACTGGAGTGACCAGCCCGTGGGGTGGCAACTTTCAACTCCAGGAGTGGCAAGGTGGCTTGCCGAGGGAAAGACACATGCTCAAAGAGGCTTACAGTGGAAATACACATGTGGGGGTTACTCAGAGGAGGAACCATGCACACGGAGGCACCTAGCCGACGCACAGGCAATAGTGCTGGAGGAACTCAGGGCTTCAGAGAGGAAGGCTCACCTGAGGAAATATCGCACGTATCCAGTCCGTGGATTGGAATGGCGAGCAAGCGAGACACCTAAGGGCTCCCATGTTAGCTTGAAAAACACAGTACATGGGGGGAGACTGGCTCCACTCGGAGATTGTAAAATCTGCGAATGTGTTGGGTGTCGCCCAGCCTGCAGCTCTGCAGATGTCTGTTAGCGAGGCGCCACGCGCTAAAGCCCAAGAGGACGCCACACTCCGAGTGGAGTGGGTGGTCACACCAAGGGGGCACGGTCGACCTTGCTGCTGGTATGCCAAAGCAATGGCGTCCACTATCCAGTGGGATAACCTTTGCTTGGAGAGAGCCTTTCCCTTCAGCTCCCACCATAACAGACAAAGAGCTGGTCTGAGGTCCTGAAACACTGCGTCCTGTCTACGTAAGCACGGAGGGCGCGTACTGGACAGAGCAGTGCCAAGGCTGGGTCTGCCTCCTCCAGGGGCAGCGCTTGCAGGTTCACCACCTGGTCCCGGAAGGTAGTGGTGGGAACCTTGGGCACATATCCAGGCCGGGGTCTCAGGATCACGTGAGAGCAGGCCGGCCCGAATTCCAGGCACGCTTCGTCAACAGAGAATGCGTGCAGGTCCCCCACCCTCTTGATGGAGGCCAGTGCAACCAGGAGCGCTGTCTTCATTGACAGGAACTTAATCTCCACTGATTGCAGAGGCTCAAAGGGAGCCCTCTGCAGGGCATATAAGACCACTAAGAGGTCCCAAGAGGGTACAAGAGGAGGGCGAGGAGGATTCAGTCTCCTCGCTCCTCTCAGGAACCTGATGATCAGGTCGTGCTTCCCCAGAGACTTACCTTCAACTGCATCGTGATATGCGGCGATAGCGGCCACATACACCTTCAGGGTGGAGGGAGACAGCCTTCGCTCCAACCCGTCTTGCAGAAAGGAATAGGGTTGTGCCGATGGACGATATCATCGTCCATCGTGATGGCTGACAGACATCACGATGTTTAGACGGCATCGGCTAAACATCGTGTGTCCCGTTTCCATGGTGACGCGTCATGCTTGGCACGTGATTCACCACAGCCAAAATAGCGCTGTATGACAGATTTAGCGCTTTTATTTCTAAATATTAACAAACTTGCTTACCATGTCATGAACTATCTTCTATTCCGATTCTCAAATATGTGTAAGTGAGTTTTTGTCGTTTAAAAAAACTTTATAAATTATCTTGATCTGTAACGTGAGATGGGCGCCGTGTTTGGACCGGAGTTCAGAGATTCCTGTCTGTTGGATTTATTATAGCGCGTGAATTCACCAGTTTCTCCCGAAAAACATGAAAGTCAGTGGTCGGTGAACTGGGAGAAAAATTTAGTTGACATTATAGTTATTTACTGCTACACTGTGTCTCTCTGATATGAATAAAAACCGTCGTCAAATTGTTATTGCTGCTATAGACACCATTGTGTATTTTACAAACTATAAATGTATTGTTTTGCTATAGATTATATGTATTTAAATGTCTGAAACCTAAAATAAACATTATGTGGTTAAAAACACCGAACAGTTGTGATATAGCCTATGACAAGCGCTGAGCACGTCCGTCTTTGGCTCAGTGCCAGCCATAGCGCGAAAGCACGCAGTTTGAATCTGGCAGTGATGTCATGTCACTGTACATTCGCTCCTTAGTGCTCAGCTACCGCAGAGCTGCCGACATCGAAATTGCTGATGAGATATAGAGGAAAATATCTAGTGGAAAATGAGAATTTTACGCAAATACACCCCCCCCGATGTCATCGTCCATCGCGATGTTTCACTGTAGACATCGTCTGATGCCAAATTGGTAGACATCGCCCAACCCTAGAAAAAAAAGCACGACACTGATCGAGCATCTCCTGGGGTCTTCTCGCCGAGAAGAGCACCAGTTGACGAAGAGGTTCCACTTCAACGCATAGACGTGTCTCGTGGACAACGCTCTAGCGGAAGTGATGGTAGCCGCCACCGCAGGTGGCAGGGTACTCAAACCTGCCTCGTCCCGTCCAGGAGCCACACGTGGAGTCCCCAAAGATCGGGACGAGGGTGCCATAGGGTGCCCCATCTCTGAGAAAGGAGGTCCTTCCTCAGAGGAATTGGCCAAGGAGGTGCTGTCACGAGGAGTATCAGTTCGGAGAACCAGGTCTTGCTGGGCCAGTATGGGGCGACCAATATGACCTGCTCCTCGTCCTCCTTGATCTTGCACAGAGTCTGTCCTCGGACAGGGAGTAATACAGGGTGCAATGGGATGAGTCGTGGGAGGCAAACAGATCTATCTGTGCGTCCCCGAACTGGTCCCATATCAGCTGGACCGACTGGGGATGGAGTCGCCATTCGCCAGAGGTTGGCCGGAGCCGTGACAGCTCGTCGGCTGCAAGGTTCCGCTCTCCTGGAATGTAAATAGCACGAAGGGACCTCAGGTGCTTCTGACTCCATAAGAGGAGGTGGCGTGCGAGTTGCGACATACGGCGAGAGCGTAGACCACCCTGACGGATGATGTACGCTACTGTCGCGGTATTGTCCGAACGGACAAGTACGTGTTGACCCTGGAGCAGGGCGTGGAAGCGGTGCAGGGCAAGGCGTACTGCCAGCAACTCGAGCAATTGACATGCATGAGGCGCTGGGGTCCTGTCCAGGAGCCCGCGGCTGCATGTCCATTGCACATGGCGCCCCAGCCCGTGGCAGAGGCATCTGTGGAGACAACAACATGCCTGGAAACTCGTTCTAGGGGAACTCCGGCCCGTAGAAAGCTGAGGTTCCGCCACGGGGTGAAGGTCTGACGGCAGGTCGGAGTTATTGGAACTCTGAGCGTACCACGATGCCATGCCCACCTCGGGACCCGATCGCGAAGCCACAGCTGAAGCGGTCTCATATGAAGCAATCCGAGTGGCGTTGCCGCGGCTGCGGATGCCATATGCCCCAGGAGCCTCTGAAAAAGTTTCAGTGGGACCGCACTCTTGCCCTCGAACTGTCGAAGACAAGTCAGCAGTGAGTGTGCGCGCTCGCTCGTAAGCTGCGCGGACATGGCGACCGAGTCTTTCTCCATACCAAGAAAAGAGATCCTCTGCACGGGGTAAAGTTTGCTCTTCTCCCAGTTGACCCGAAGGCCCAGACGGGCTAGGTGCCGGAGCACAAGGTCTCTGTGTTCGCAAACCTGATCTCGAGAGTGAGCTAATATTAGCCAGTCGTCGAGATAATTCAGGATGCGAACCCCGTGTTCGCGAAGGGGAACAAGGGCTGCCTCGACGACCTTCGTAAAGACGCGAGGAGACAGAGCCAACCCGAATGGGGGAACTGCGTACTGGTATGCCTGCCCCTCGAAAGCAAACCGAAGAAATGGTCTGTGTCGAGGTAAAATGGAGACATGAAAGTAGGCGTCCTTCAGGTCTATCGCTGCAAACCAATCCTGTGGCCGCACGCATTCGAAAATGCGTTTGGTCGTGAACATCCTGAACGGCAGCCTGTGAAGGGAGCGGCTCAAGACGCGCAGAACCAGGATTGGCCATAACCCACCGGTCTTCTTGGGGACAATGAAGTACGGGCTGTAAAACCCTGACCTCCTTTCGGCTGGAGGGACAGTCTCGATTGCACCCTTCGCCAGCAGGGTGGCAACCTCCGCTCTCATGATCGAGGCATTGCCACCGACCATAGTAAACGGACTCCCCTGAAGCGGGGAGGAGACCGTGCGAATTGGATCGCATAGCCGAGCCTGATAGTTCGGGCGACCCAGCGGGACAGGTAGGGAAGCTCTAACCAAGCTCCCAAGAACTGAACCAGCGGAAACATCCGAACGACAGACGTCCCCCCGGAGGAGCAGCGAAGCGGAGTGACCGGCCCAGGCGTGGGTGGCATAGCGGCCCGGTGCGGGGGCACGGTCATGCTCCGCGTCCTGACAGAGGAGACCAGGGAAGGACCAGCGTTCCACGGGGGTCTGCTCTGCCAGAGGTCTGGCGACAGAGGGGGACGAGAGTGGTGTGGTCCGGAGACGGCACACACTGTCATCCGCGCCCTCAGAGACAGAGGGGGACGAGAGCGGCAAGGCCCGGGAGCGTCGCGCACTGTCGTCCGGCCCTCTGAGGGCTCAGAGATGGGATGCATCTCCTTGGTTTAGAAAAGATTCTCCCCCAGCCCTCCACCGGGGGAAGGAGTGGCCCTGCAACCACTCCCTGAAGAACTGCAACCCACATCTGAGCTGCCCGTAATGGGAGCGCCGCAAGCCTGGCCTTGGCGGGGCTGCGGGGCCGGTACGGGCAGGGGCGCCTTCCTGCGACCACCTCCACGGCACGGCCCGGTGCTGCTGGGGGCCGGGCGGGAGGGGGCGGAAGTCGCAGGAGGGCGCATTCGGCAGCAAGCGGACTGAGGCGTCTGAGCCGGCGGCTGGAGGCAGCAAAGCCGCAGGGTCAGACAAAATAGCCACAGTCCACTTCTGGGCGGCCGAGAACTGTTGGGCAGAGTCCTCGACCGCGCCGCCGAAGAGGCCAGCCTGGGATATGGGGGAGTTGAGGAAACGAAATCACTCAGCCTCGCGCACATCAACCAGGTTAGCCAGAGGTGTCTGTCCACCTATGTGGACATCACCTGACTCAGGGAGCGTGCGGTCACCTACGTCGCTCGTAGAGCAAGGTCGGTGACGGCAGGCAGCTCAAGGATGAGCCCTGAATCAGCCCTACCCTCGTGCATGTCATTGAACACCCAGAAGGATGGCAATAACACGCAGTGAGGTGGCAGCCTGCCCCGCAGCTCTATAGGTCCCCGCCACCGGAGTAGACAAGAACCTACAGGCATTGGGGGGGTGCTTAGGGTCGCAACGCCAGGTGGAGGCGCTATGGGGACACATAAGTGTTGCCACAGAACACTCCACAGGGGGAACCCCAGTGTACCCTAGGCCGCGGCCTCTACAAGGGCAGAGAAGGCGGAAGAGGCCACTGAGCAGTCGCGAAAAGTCAAAGGAGACTTCCACGATCTCATGATCTCTTCATGCACGTCCGGGTAGAAAGGATTTGGGTTCGCCACCCCCAAAAACCAATCATCAGCCTTAAGTGCTCGGGACATGGCAGAAGGTTCCACACAAGCCCGATACTCGCGGCAGCCCGGGAAAGCATAGCTGTGCACTCCGGATCAAACTCGTTATGCTAGCACATCCGAGGACGGCAGCACAGACGAGCCATCATCTCTAGAGGACTCCAGCTCACCTTGTGATGCGGTGATAAACATGATTTCATCAGCCGGGGGACCGAATGATTTCATCAGCCGGGCGAACTCACCTGGGACCACGCGGGTTGCAATGTGAAAGACGGGGTGTGGACCGAGGAATTTTTCGTCGGTTTAGTTCCAACCCTGCCGTCTTAGGTCACCCTGGCCACCAGCCGAAGTATTATCTCACGTGGAGAAAAATAGATCGGGGTGTGGAGGAGGGGACTCTCACTCATTGAGCTCATCGAGTCTCGACCGTTACATTGCGATGGTCACGTTCCCAGTGAGAGAACGTGACACACCCACGAGCGCTGTCTGAGCGCGATCAAAGCCCAAACACTCAAAACAGCGCTCGCGCCCATCAGCTGAATCTATCAGAATACCACACTCAGAAAAACACGGGCAGATCGTCTTTAGAAAGACGCGTCTTTAAAAAGACATGCCGCGTGCAGCTCTTTAGTGAGAGGAAAAAACTCTGCGGATGTTGAAGCGACCAGGGAGAACACACAGACTGGCAGACCACTGCTCAGCTCGCAGGCAATGTGAAACTCGCTGGATACCGCCGTCACACCAACACCGGAGAGTTCACTCGTCTCGAAGAGATGTAGTCACTGAGAAAACTCAGGATTTGGCTTGTGGAGTGAAGAGATGCTCTTGGCTCCGAAGCGAAAACATGATCTGCTGTTGCAGGTGTCTCTCCTTAAATACCCACGCAGTGGGGCGGAGATACATTATGCAAATTCCGCAGACCCATGGCATTTCATTGCCATAGGCTCGTTTTTTAATACTCGAAGATGATATGCTTTCTGGCGAAACCCCCATTCTCCGTCATCCGACGTAACTCGGAGTGACTACGAAAGGGAACTTGGTGTCTGTAAACATATTTACATTTGTTTTTCAATCCCTAATGTAACAGAAATGATTCTTTAGCACTCTAGTGTTAGTAAAGTTAGAGACGAGTCACTCTTGCTCTCTACAATCTAAAAAATGGTGGGTTGTTTTAACCCAACTTTGGGTCAAACATGGGCAAACCCAGCCGTTGGGTTAAAATTTAAAATAACCTTTTCAACCCAATGTTTGGGCTTGTCCATATTTGACCCAAAATTGGGTTAAAACAACCCAGCATTTTTTAGAGTGTAGTGCTTTAGTTTCTCATCAGGAGCAGATCCTGTTCATCAGATGCAGAACTATAGCAGACTGAACATGATGCTTTATACAAGCAACATTATAGATAAAGCACTAGAACTAGACATTTCAGTTATTCATACACATTTAACAACTGAGTGTATTACCTGTGTTACAGATGAGGAGAAGAATGAAGGACACAAGCAGACGATCTACTGCCATTGTAACAAACATCAAGATGGCTGAAGTTTTATTTAAAACAGGAAGTTAAATATGTGTGAAATGACGCCCATGTAACCTCATTATAACTCTCTCACTAGCTCAGCTTTTGTCATGATCCTTGGCTGGACAATTATTAGTTTAGTTATATCAGTTAGATTTAATGTTAATGCTTCTAAAACTAAAAAATAAAGCAGGAGATGTTTAAGAAAGATACAGGACAATTTAAGAAAGTTACAGCATTTTAATAACCTGCATATGAGATTAGAGTATGAAAACTGAAAACAAACATTGGTTTGGACCAGTCACAGAAAACATTCCAGCATCCAACAATAAACTATTTTAAATGAGTAACTGTATATAAATGTTGAACTCCATTCATAATACAAGCCACACACAGGTTTACAAAGAAATGAGAGTGACATTGACATTTGTAAAGTCCAACTAACATTGGCCAGTTTATCTGGTTAGAAGACCCTGAGCCTCTGCTGGTAGAAGTTATAACTAAACCATCTGACTGCAAAAAGCATTTTCACCGCCAATGACAGCCATTCAAAATATCATTGTAAAAACAGCCGAAATTCAAACAGCATAAAAAAACAATAAACAGTATGATTACAGTATGAGATATACACTCACCGGCCACTTTATTAGGTACCCCATGCTAGTAACGGGTTGGACCCCCTTTTGCCTTCAGAACTGCCTCAATTCTTCGTGGCATAGATTCAACAAGGTGCTGGAAGCATTCCTCAGGGAGTTTGGTCCATATTGACATGATGGCATCACACAGTTGCCGCAGATCTGTCGGCTGCACATCCATGATGCGAATCTCCCGTTCCACCACATCCCAAAGATGCTCTATTGGGTTGAGATCTGGTGACTGTGGAGGCCATTTTAGTACAGTGAACTCATTGTCATGTTCAAGAAACCAATTTGAAATGATTAGAGCTTTGTGACATGGTGGAAGTAGCCATCAGAGGATGGGTACATAGTGGCCATTAAGGGATGGACATGGTCAGAAACAATGCTCAGGTAGGCCGTGGCATTTAAACGATGCCCAATTGGCACTAAGGGGCCTAAAGTGTGCCAGGAAAACATCCCCCACACCATTACACCACCACCACAGCCTGCACAGTGGTAACAAGGCATGATGGTTCCATGTTCTCATTCTGTTTACGCCAAATTCTGACTCTAACATCTGAATGTCTCAACAGAAATCGAGACTCATCAGACCAGGCAACATTTTTCCAGTCTTCAACTGTTCAATTTTGGTGAGCTCTTGCAAATTGTAGCCTCTTTTTCCTATTTGTAGTGGAGATGAGTGGTACCCGGTGGAGTCTTCTGCTGTTGTAGCCCATCCGCCTCAAGGTTGTGCATGTTGTGGCTTCACAAATGCTTTGCTGCATACCTCGGTTGTAACGAGTGGTTATTTCAGTCACTGTTGCCCTTCTATCAGCTCAAACCAGTCTGGCCATTCTCCTCTGACCTCTGGCATCAACAAGGCATTTCCGCCCACAGAACTGCCGCTCACTGGATGTTTTTTCTTTTTCGGACCATTCTCTGTAAACCCTAGAGATGGTTGTGCGTGAAAATCCCAGTAGATTAGCAGTTTCTGAAATACTCAGACCAGCCCTTCTGGCACCAACAATCATGCCACGTTCAAAGTCACTCAAATCACCTTTCTTCCCCATACTGATGCTCGGTTTGAACTGCAGGAGATTGTCTTGACCATGTCTACATGCCTAAATGCACTGAGTTGCCGCCATGTGATTGGCTGCTTATAAATTAAGTGTTAACGAGCAGTTGGACAGGTGTACCTAATAAAGTGGCCGGTGAGTGTATTAAAGTGACATGAGGGAAGCAAAGAAGCACTCGTTCATAATATCTGCAGCAACGTACTGAAGTTCATTGGACTTACAAAAGTATAAGATATTCTGTACACTTCCACAAGAGTCATGAAATCTGGGAGTTAAATCAAGACTTTTGTGAGTCCAGTCAATCAAAAAATATTTTTATGCTTTAACAGTCATGAGCAGATGAAGGTGTTTGGTGTCCTACTGTACGGTAGGTGATGGTGGTCCAGGTATCTCCTGTCATCTTCTGCATCAGAGTCTGTACAAAAATGAATTGAATCACCACAGATCATGTGAAATACAGTTAATATTCATTGGGTCACGTGACATTTATTATCTGTGACGTCTGCAGGAATAGATATGAAGTCATATCTCACCTCAACATCATCGTAGTCTGTATCATCGCTCTGTTTGACACCTGAGAGGTCAGAATATGACGTTTACTGCACAGATTACAGGTTTGTGTGGAAACATGTTTCTTTGCATTTGATTGCTGTCAGATGTTTGATTTCTCTCATCTATCAGACTGACAGCCTACAAGTTTAATATTGACCAGAGTTCTGGATTCACTAGACAGCTCTTACTAATATAAAATAGTTTTTTTGTAGTATCTCCTTAGAATTTCATAAAGAGTTAAAAAGTGTATGAAATTTAAAAAATTGAGTTTTTATTTCCAGAAGCAAATATTTAGTGTAGTCAGAATTGTAGTTTAAGGGATTTGAAAGGAATATTTTATGCTGTGAAACAGAAGAAAACTAAACTATAAACATACAATATGGCCAGACAAATAGACAATGATGTATCTTGACTTCTAAATGTTTAGACTGTGCAGTAATCATGTGTTGTTTCTCTATATAAACCTTATTGCTTATGTTCCCCTTCAATAATTTCCATATGGCAACATTCTTTAGCTACTAAAGAATACATTTTTTAGGTATAAATATCCGTTTTTTAAAATATTTGTAAGATGGATATACCTTTATTATTCTTGCAGCAACAGTAAAGGAGCAAACCAGAAAACACCATCACTATCACTGCCACAACACCAAACACAATAAACATAAGACTAAACAACTGAGATGATGTTTTGATTTGTAGTCTTTGATTACCTGGAAAGTAAAATATGAAGAACATAATAATAAGTCTATAGTAAGCAGCCTTGATTTGTGAGATCAAATTAAAAGCAGATATTCACCTCTACAGAGTTGTTTTATATTAATTCTGTCTTCCTTCCAGCTGACAGTGTTGCTATGGTTACAGATGATGGATTCCTCACTGCAGTCAAAAGAGTATAGAAGAACAAGAGGCGAAACTCTGATGTTTTTTTTTGGGAACAGCCACTAGGTGGCGCTTCGGTAGCGCGGCCGCCATTTTGGGGTGAAAATTCCAACTGGAGTTACTGGACGACAGCACAGATAACAGTTTTTTTAGGTAGTTTTTTCTTGCATTAGTGAGTATTTCCATTTTATGCAACTTAACACATTTACTACTATTATTAGTTACCAACTCCACTAGGCCTGAAATATATTTTGTACGTTTTAATCCCCTGGATCATGCTACAAACATGATGATCTTATAGAATATGATGCTGGTGCATTGCTGTGTCCGTTATCCTATAACTTTAATTGCCACTTTGGACAGTGGCTGTGTTTTTTTGTTTACATAGTCTTGCTTTAACGGTCATTAATATAAGATAGTACTGCAAAAAAAAAAAAAAAAAAGCTTACTGTAAAGCTATTCTATTGCTGTTATATATTTATTGTCCAACATTTACATTTTAGTACAATTTATTTGCTGAACTCATTTACTTCATTGATAACTTATTTTTGTATGTAACGTTATGTGTACCTCCTGGGAAACGGTCTAACGTTATTATAACTTTATGAACTGATATCACTTTATTCTTACCTGTCACACTTAATATGAGTAATATAACGTTAATTAATTAAATCCTTGAAAAGCCTGGTTAAGTAGCAACTTCTTTTTAACTGCTATAACGTTAACTGTTGTGAGTTAAAGTAACAACAGGTAACTTTTCAACCTTCATAATATATTTCCAAGTCTCTTGTGATGGTACATCGACTTACAATAGGTTGAATGACACGTCTGCCATAGCCTGACGGGGTCTGTAGCGTTTTTAATCGTACTTTTAAACTTCGGGTTTCGGGTAGTAACCGGCGAACAAAGAGAACTACAAAATTCGACTGCTTTACGGCATATACGTCACTTCCACCACCACCCCCACTTCCTTAAAATCGGACTTGCGAGCCAAATGTTATAGTCATGGCCGAAGCAGCACAGAAAAACAAGAAAGCAAAGGTTTTATCGGAGCAAAGCAAAAAGAGAAAAAGAGAAAGTGATCGCGTTAAAGGCAGAACGAGGATCAACATTGCAGAGCTGCCAACTCACGCATTGGCCGTGAGACACCCGCATTTGATTGGTTTCACACGCTCACACGTACGCCACACCCCCGGTTTCTCACGCTAAATTGTCAACCCGGTCGGTCAAATCCCTGAAAGATGAGTTTATCTATAGATCTACCTGTTGAGCCACTCGTGATCGACAAGTTATACCGCAAATTAGTTCAAATCTCCCGGAATCTAGAGCGAGCGCGCACGCGAGACAGAGACTGTGCTCCAACGCGCGCGGACGGCAGAGAGAGAAAGTATGGCGTTATTATCCTGTCAGATGTCGAGAGCGCATTATTGTAGCGCGAAAGTACATTAATATTATGCGCGAGCGTGAATCTCTCTGCTCGCGCGCGGAATATGATGTGCGCGAGCGTGAATCTCTCTGCTCGCGCGCGGAATATGATGTGCCCAGCGCAAATCTCTCTGCTCGCGCGCGGGAACTGGGCACGCGCTCTCAGATACACTTCTCTTGTAAGAGTTCTCTCTCTGGGCTGATTGGGCTCGCTGCCTTGCTCAGAGAATATGCCTGCACTTAAAACGTGTTCAGTGCAATCGCGAATTGCTCCTCTTCCCCAGCTAACAATTTTAGGTTATAAGAACGTTTTCATAACGTTCCCATTAAGTTATAAAAACGTTATTTCTGAATGTTCTAGGGAGTTTCAAAAAGTCCAGTTTTTTAGACGTTGTATTAACGTTATTTCTTGGTTATAAGAACGTTCAATTCTCCCTTTATATAAACGTTGTATTAACGTTCTTGTTTGGTTATAAGAACGTTATTCAAACGTTCAATTCTCCCATTATATAAACCTTCTCTTAATGTTTTTCTAAGATAATGAAAAACGTTTCATTCAATAAAAAAAAAAAAACATTAAGAAATGTTTTAATAATTATTAAAACCTTTCTTAATGTTTTTTATATAACAAGGTAGCCTATATAATAGGCCTAGCCTATATGAAGAACCTAAAATTAAAAAAAAAAAGACCCATGAATCATGTCTACAATATGTGTAATGTAGTCCACTGAAGTCGAGTTGAATTGAACCGAAGTAGGCCTATAGTTTATTCCAGTAAACCGATTTGGGTTGAAGTGACCATATGAAATTAACATGAACATAAACTTGGACTAAACATAGAATCACCAACAATGGTTGCCTACAGGGAACAAAGCTAGACAAGAGACAATGGGAACACAAGGACAAGGATTATGACCAAAAACAACCAATGACATCCACAAGTTAAAGTTAATTTAATTTATATAGCTCATTTATACAACAATTTCCAAGTTTATGTTCATGTTAATTTCATATGGTCACTTCAACCCAAATCGGTTTATTGGAATAAACTATAGGCCTACTTGGGTTCAATTCAACTCGACTTCAGTGGACTACATTACACATATTATAGACATGATTCATGGGTCTTTTTTAAAATTTTTATCTTAATTTTAAAATCTGAAAGTTCTTGTTTTAGGTTCTTCATATAGGCCTATTATAGGCTACCTTGTTATGAATGAAACGTTTTTCATTATCTTCGAAAAACATTAAGAGAACGTTTATATAATGGGAGAATTGAACGTTTGAATAACTTCTTATAACCAAGCAAGAACGTTAATACAACGTTTATATAAAGGGAGAATTGAACGTTCTAACGTTATTATAACCAGGAAATAACATTAATACTGTTTACATAATGGGAGAATTGAACGGTCTTATAACCAAGAAATAACGTTAATACAACGTCTAAAAAACTGGACTTTTTGAAATTCCCTAGAACATTCAGAAATAACGTTTTTATAACTTAATGGGAACGTTATGAAAACGTTCTTATAACCTAAAATTGTTAGCTGGGGAAGAGGAGCAATTCGCGATTGCACTGAACACGTTTTAAGTGCATGCATATTCTCTGAGCAAGGCAGCGAGCCCAATCAGCCCAGAGAGAGAATTCTTACAAGAGAAGTGTATATGAGAGCGCGTGCCCAGTTCCCGCGCGCGAGCAGAGAGATTCGCGCTGGGCATATCATATTCCGCGCGCGAGCAGAGAGATTCACGCTCGCGCACATCATATTCCGCGCGCGAGCAGAGAGATTCACGCTCGCGCATAATATTAATGTACTTTCGCGCTACAATAATGCGCTCTCGACATTGGACAGGATAATAACGCCATAAGAAAGCGAGTGAGAGACCTTACGTGTGCAGGGAGCATCGAACGCATAGGCGTCATTTACGGGGGGGACGGGTGGGACATGTCCCCACCACTTTTTGCCAGGGTCGATATTGTCCCCACCACTTTTGAAACATCTCGCGTCACGGATGTAACAATACAAATAAAACATCTCCAGTTAACTAGCAGCATTCGTTTCATTCATTTGTTAAATAAGACGCGATCTAGCGCTGAAATGTGTTGTCTTCACTCGGACGCGCGCTTCAATCCGTTGCAGAGATTCTATTCGTTCCAGAGAAATCACAATTCAAAATGCACACAAACGTGTCCCTGCTTCTCTGGGTTCTAATCCGCACTCGTATAGTTTTTTTTTCCCTCATCAAAACCGATAATGTTTATCAGTGATAAAGTATATCAAGATTCTTGATATACAACCACTGATAAACATTATCGGTTTTGATGAGGGGAAAAAACTATACCGAGTGCGGACTAGAACCCTCAACCCCCGACACGCTTGGCAAAAATTCTGCCACTGGACTATCACAAGACATAGGCAACGCAGGCGGATCTGACAACATTATATTAGATCTCATTTTACGACCAATTAAACCCAAAGTACCATCACATTTTTGGTCGGACATCATACATTTTTATTTATTTCAATCAGTAAGCTACAGGACATCGTCTTTCAAACCATGACCTGCGCGAAAGAGAAAAAAGAATGAATGCGTCATTGTACCCAGCACTTTTGAAAATGCCCTTCCGAATGCGTCTCTGTCCCCACCACATTTCAAACCAAACTGACGCCCATGATCGAACGCCCCATCGAAAAAAGAATGCCTCTCTCTAACCTCTCTAATTCGCTAGAGTAGTAGCGAATTATCAATCTGGTAGCTAGTAAACGATATTCTAGTTTTTGATGGTTAGCTATCGCTAGTATTCTCGTTCTGATTTGAACTTTGCAATCGATGAAATGCAAATAGCAAATGTTTGACCTAAAAAGTGTAGTCTACTCAACATGTACAAAGAAAGGAGGAAGATTATTAATAAAATCATATTTTTGGATACCTAACATGTCTGTGATATTTGTTTATTTGTCTTGCCTCAAGCTATAATGCAAATCGATTTGTAAAATTTGCAGATTCATTTATGGTAGCTTGATATTATAATATTGACGATATATGGTTATTATCAACCACTCAAACATTGCATTGAAGTATCATATAGATCCAGTAAAACGGTAACCAATAGACTAGGCTACTATAATGACGCTGGCTTGTAAACGTGAGCATCGCGATCATTTGTCGTTAGAAAAAAAATAAAACCCATGAAATTATATTCATATGACATGCTGAAATATATGCCACTGTACCTGGGATGAAGACATTTCACACGCGACGCAAGCAGAACACCTGCATGTGACCTCCTCCTACAGTGTTCAGGGCTATCCTCGTTGTCAACAATTGCACGTGCATGTAGGATGACAGAGTTTACGACAGTAGTAGAGGACAATACTGTTTCCCAACTGTAGGGGGAGCC